TAAAAAAAATAAAAAAAAAAAAAAAAAAAAAAAAAATTAAGTATAAATTTGAATNACTAGATATATATATATATATACCTAAAAGACAACTTTTCAATATAATAATTTATATAAAAATAAAAAAATAAAATAGGTGAAACACGTTGATTGTTAATTTAAAGAAAATAAAATTTTCTTTAAAAAAAAAAAAAATTCTAATTTTTATTCTATTTTTTAAAAATTAAACGAATATGCATAGTTAATACATACATTAATAATTTTTATTTTTAATCATTTACATAACATTTCTCACTTTTCTAGCACTTGTAAAAAAACACATTTATACATTTATTTTTAATACATTTTTTATTTTAACTATATTTTTAAAATTATTTTATTTATAATTAAATTTGTTTTTTCTTTATAATTGTTGTGAATTAAGTATATTTATAATTCTTTCATAAATAGAAAATATATGAAAATATAATATATTTTATATATTTAACTATTTTCAGTGGATTTTTTTAATAAATAAAATTTTTTTTCCTTAATACAACTTATTTTCAAATTTTAAATAGCCCTTTTTTTTTTTTTTTTTTTTTTTTTTTTTTATATACAATTTCAGATTGTTAATTTTACATTTTTTTGACATTAACCCTGAAAATAATTTATTAATAATTTTTATAATATTTATTTTAAATTATATTTAATCAAATGCAAAAAAGAAAACATGTATTTAATTATATTATTAAAAAAAAGAAGAAAAATTTTAAATAAAATAATAAGAATCTAACTGAATACAAATTTAAGGAAAAGAAAAAAAAAAAAAAATAATAAAATAAAATAAAATAAAATTAAAAAAGACAAATATGAAGTTAATTAAATTTAAAGATTCTCATAAAAGGAAAATAGTTTTAAGTAAAAAAAAAAAAAAAATAAATAATAATTTTGACATGCAAAAGGAAGAAGAGAAAAAAGAATACAATAATTACGTTACAACAAATAGAAGAAGCACTAGACTAATACATCTAAATTATGAAAGAACAATCTTAGAAAAAAAAAATAAATATAATAAAAATGAAAAACAAAGTGATAAAAAGAAACATTTGAATAATGGTAAAATGAATGATTCTGTAAGTAATTATAAAAAGGGAGAATTATCAAATCGCAATAAAGATGAGACATCAAATAACAATAAGGAAAAACCATCAAAAAATAATAAAAGAAAAACGTTCAATAAAAGTAATGGAATTTTGTCTATTAGAAAGAAAAAAAATATATTAGAAAGTAATAAAAGAAATGTATTAAATAATAATAAAATAAAAACAGTAAGCGATAGTAAAGAAAAAATTCAAAATGACAATAATAAAAAAAGGAAAGTAAAAATTGATAAAAAAAAAGAAATCAATTATACCAATAATAGAATAAAAAAACAAATGAGAAATAAATCAAAAAGCAAAAAAATAAACAAAAAAATAATTGATAAAAAAGCAACGAGTAAAAAAATTAGTAAGAAAAAAGTCATACGCAAAGACCTCTTGAATTTGAAAAGCAGTAATACAAAATATTTTAGAGATTCAAAAAATAATATTCAAAAAAAATATTCAAAAAAAGTAAATTCTGGAGTTTTATTAAATAAAGGAGAAATCAATGTAAGTTGTTTATCTAAATTTAAAATAAAAAAAAAAAATGTTTATGATGATAGAGTTAAAATATTAAATAAAGATAAAAATGTATTGCAAAAATGTGATATTATTACAAATACAGATTTAAGTAAAAAAATTAAAAAATCCAATGATTGTTTTTTGGAAGATAATTTCTTACAGAAAAAACTAAAAAAAAGAAAATTAACAACAGTAACTAATAATAATAGTAATAATAAAATTAAAGAAATAAATAAATTCATAAAAGAATTTATAAAAAACAATAATTTAAATAAAAATTATTTACATAATAATAAATACAACATATATAGCCATGGTAAAGGAAATGTATTTTACTATTTAGAAAGAATAAATTATAATAAAGAAAAAAAAAGTACAAATAATAAAATAAAGTTAAATGTTATATCAGAAATAATAAAAATAAAAAAGAAAAAATTTATAATAGGTTCATCAAATAAGAAATGTGATTTAGTTTTGAAAGGGAATATTGAAAGTGAACAATGCGAATTAATATGTAAATGTGTAGAAAAAAATATAAATAAGTCTAATGATAAGGATAGACAAATAAATAAATATAATTTATTTATTATTAATAAGTCATCTAGTAATAGTACAATATTAAATGATTCTATTGTAAATTTAGAACAGATAAAAGATGAAGACAATATATTTTTAGGAATAGACAATATATATAATAAAAATAATGCTAAATATATATATAAAGTAAAATATAATAAAACCGCTAATATTTTTAATTCAAATAATTTATATAATTATAAAGATGATAATGCAAATATTACATCTGATAAAAAAGAAAAAGGGAGAGTAAGTAAAATAGTGTCAAGCAATTTTTCCTTAAATAATCAAAATGGAAGAATAACAAATTCTCTAGAAAAAGAAGAATCCAATATAACTATATTAATATTTCTTATAATTGAAAATAATTATATTTTAAATGAACCAGTACATCATATAAATTATGTAAATTGCTTTTCTATTTTAAATAACACTCCTAAAAAAATTTTAGAAAATGAAAAACCTTCAAAAAATACTCCATCTGTTAGTAAAATGTTAAAAGAAGATTCTCCTAATACCAAATTTAATGAAAGTTTTCAAAAGATTAATAGTATTTGTCAGAGTAGAATATCCCCACTAGGTATAAAAGACTCAATTAAAAAAGAAGAAAAAATAAAAAGAATCTTAAAACATTCAGATTATTCTAAGGAACTTCCAGTAACATTACTAAATGCTTGTGCTGAATTATGTAAAGAAATAAATAAAAGTGTATCAAAAGATAATCCTAAATTAAGCAATTCTATTCATAAAAGTACCCTCTCTATGAATAATAGCTTTACACCACCAAATTACATTAATCATTCTAATAAAAAAGAAAACAAAAATGATCAATATTTAGAAAAAGATCAGAGTCATTTATATGGCATAAAAAATATGAATAACATATATAATATATTCCATAGTAATTTTAACAGTAATAATTATAATGAGAAAAAAGGTGAGGATAACAATAGAATTGATAATAATTGTAATAATAATGAAATTAATTCTAATAAAGACGAAGGAAATTATAATAATAAATTTAACACTGATCATCATTATAATAGTTGTAAAGATAATAGTAATAATAATAATAATGAAAACAATAATAATAATAATGAAAACAATAATAATAATAATGAAAGCAATAATAATAATAATGAAAGTAATAATAATAATAATAATAATAATAATAATAATAATGAAAACAAAAATGAATATAGTAATAATAATGAAGGCAATAATAATAATGAAAACAAAAATGAATATAGTAATAATAATGAAAACAAAAATGAATATAGTAATAATAATGAAGGCAATAATAATAATGAAAACAAAAATGAATATAGTAATAATAATGAAAGCAATAATAATAATAATAATGAAGACAAAAATGAATATAATAATAATAATGAAAACAAAAATGAATATAATAATAATAATGAAAGCAATAATAATAATAATGAAAGCAATAATAATAATAATGAAAACAAAAATGAATATAATAATAATAATGAAAGCAATAATAATAATAATGAAAACAAAAATGAATATAATAATAATAATGAAAGCAGTAATAATAATAATGAAAACAAAAATGAATATAGTAATAATAATGAAAACAATAATAATAATAATAATAACGAAAACAAAAATGAATATAGTAATAATAATGAAAGCAATAATAATAATAATAATGAAAACAAAAATGAATATAATAATAATAATGAAAGCAATAATAATAATAATGAAAACAAAAATGAATATAGTAATAATAATGAAAACAAAAATGAATATAATAATAATAATAATAGCAATGATTTTAAAACAATAAAAAGTCTAAATGTCTATAATGAAAGTATTTTAAATGATAAAATAGATATTAATGTATATGAAGAAAAAAAAGTTAGTTTGAACATTGATGAAAATATAAAATTTTCACAAAATAATAATACTGTTATACAAGAAAATAACTTTATAGATAAAACATCATTAAAAGGTAAAAACGAAGGAGGTGTAAATAGCGAAATGAATTATGTGAATAAAAATTGTGATGAACATAATAGTGTTCATTTACAGCCGACTGATTTATATTATAAAGTAAATTATGAAGATATATATTTTAAAAAAAACACGAAAGCTGAAGAAAAAGACGAGTCATATATTGATATGGATGATAATTTATATGTATCACCAGTAAAAAATGGGATAATCATAAATAGTAATAAATCTGTATTTTATGATTGTAAGGAAGAAAAAGTTGGTGATTTAACTCCTCATAAAAATAAAAATAAAGAATATTTAAAACCTTATGAACCCAATGAATTTTTAAAAACTTCTCAAAAAAATTTATTTTCATTTTTATATTCAAAAAATAACGAAAACATCTCAAACAATAATTTTATTTTATGTTTGAAAAACGAAGAAGGAAAGGAAAAATATGTAAAAGTAATAGGAGAAATAAAAGTGAAAAGAAATGCTAATTTTTCAAATATAAAGCATAACATAGATGTAAAACTATTGGATAAAACAATTGAATTTAAAACTTTAAATAATAAAAATGATTTTAAGTATGAAGATATATCGACAAAAAAATATTCTATCCATTTGAATGCTTTTTCTGATAAATTAGATGAAACAAAATTTAATGAATTTTCTGCATTACATTTGGATTATATTGACAACACTAATTTTTCAGATTTAGATACACTAGAATCATTTGAATTGAAAAAAATGTTATTTATAAAATATGAAGATCAGTGATCTTTATTTTAACACATATAATATTATGTATCTTTAATTTTTAATAATTTTTGTCATCTATATATACTAAAATACAAAAAAAAATATTTTAATTCATTTCTTAAATATGTTTTGTCCTAACTCTATTTTTCTTTTTTTTTTTTTTTTTTTTATGTTTTTAAATATATAAAACGTTCTTTTTTAATTTAGAAATCTTGTAAATTTTTTTTTACTTTTAAGATTTACGTAATTTATGTTTTTCGTATTTAATATTATTTATTTAGCATAAAATATATTTTAATTTACCTTAATTCATTATGAATAACCTTTTTAATTTTTATTTTATGCATTTTTTTTTTTTTTTTTTAAATTCAAAAATAACACAAAATAAAAACATAAAAAAAAAATAATTATTTTTTTGGTTGTTATCAAATGAAATATAAATATTGCCATTTTTAAAAGAATTTATTTTTTATATTTCTGATTTATCTTATAAATTTATTGAGAATAAATTTGAAAAACAATTAAAATTTTTTTTGAATAATTGTTATAAAATATTTATAAAAGAAAATATACATAAAAGAAAAAAAAATCATGTCGTTATGTTATTTTGACTTATATTCCTTACAACTACAAGCCAAACAAAAATTAAATTTATAATTTATTAAAGTTTTGCAAAATATAAAAAATTTTTAAGCTATTTACTGTAAAACATTTTTATGTAAAATATTATATATATATATTTTTTTTAAAATACAAGCCTAATGTTTGAAGATTATTCAATTAAAAAAAAGAAAGAAAATAAAAAACTTTAAATTTTGTTAATTTTGTTCATATCAAAAATGAATTAATTGTTATTTTATAAGATATATCTGAAAAGAAAATAAATTAAAAAATTTGAAAATGTTAGAAAAAAAAGGAAAATCAATTAAGAAAAAAAAAATTTTTAATAAGAATTATATTCACTTAAAAAAAAATAAGAAAAAAGCTAAGGGAAAAAAATGTTCTGAAAATGTCGACGAAAGGAGTCAATTACAAAAAGAAATTGATGAAAAATTAGAAAAATTAGTAGAGGAAAATAAAAGGAAACAATATAATGAACAATGGAAGAATAAATTTACAAAAAATAATGATTATAATGAAAAAAAAGATAAAAATGAATGTAATGAAGAAAAAAAAGAAAAAAAATATAAAAATAATCTAACCATAATTGATAAAAATGTACTAACTTCTCAAGAGTTTAAAACTCTACCAATAAGTAAAAGGACATTAAAAGCATTGAATGAAAACAATTTCATTTATATGACTAATATACAAGAAGTATCTATTCCAATTGTTTTATTAAATAAACATATTTATGCTCAGGCTCAAACAGGAACTGGGAAAACTTTATGCTTTTGTATACCTTTAGTTGAAAAAATGTATAGAAACAGCATTGATTGCTATAATAAAATTTTAGGTGGTTTAATAATAACTCCTACAAGAGAATTAGTATTTCAAATTTTTGAAGTTTTAAATATGTTAAATAAATATCATAAACTAAATATTTGCTGTGTTATAGGTGGAAAAAATGAAGAAAAAGAAAAATCAGTTTTTAGTTACGCAAATATTATTGTATGTACTACTGGAAGATTATTATATCATCTTGAAAATAATTATTTTTGCAATTTAGATTATTTAAGTGTTTTTATAATTGACGAAATAGACAAATTAATAGATAAAAGTTTTTATGATAATTTGAAAAATATATTGTTATATAAACCAAAAGAAAACTGTCAAATATGCCTATTTTCAGCAACCATATGCAAATTTTTGAATGTCATATTACAAACATTTAATATAAAAGATTACGAATATGTCAGTATTAACGATAATGATAAATATATAGAAAATAATAATGTTAAACAAATTTATATTGAATGCAACATATATGATAAAATCAACTACTTATATACATTTTTATTTTCAAAAAAAAATAAAAAAATTATTGTTTTCTTTTCTACTTGTAAACAAGTACGATTTATGTTTGAGGTTTTCAAAAAAATTAAAGTAGGTGTTATGAAATTTTTACAGTTACATGGAAAATTAAAACAAACTTCTAGATTAAACACATATCATTTTTTTTCAAAAAAAAAAAACTTTGTATGTTTATTTACAACTGATATTGCATGTAGAGGATTAGACTTTGCTTCAGTAGACTGGGTTATTCATTTTGATTTTCCTGAAAATGTTGAAACTTTTATTCATAGATCAGGAAGAACAGGTAGATTTACTAACATTGGTAATAGTCTTATTTTTTTAACAAGCGAAATTGATAATAAAAAAATATTTTTAAATGTGTTAAAAGAAAACAATATAGAAATTAAAGAAAAGTTTATCAAAAAACAAAAGTTATTTGATATTAACAACAAAATACATTCCCTAAATGCCGCTTTTGTTGAAATAAAATATCTAGCTAAAAAGGCATTAATCATATATTTAAGACATTTATACATTGTTATGAAATTTAAGGATATAAAGAAAATTGATTTAAACAAATTGGCATATTCTTATGGGTTAATTGAGTTCTCTAATTCAATGCTCGAAGAATTAAACTTAATTGAACAAAAGAAAATAGAAGTAAAAAAAAAAAAATCAAGATTAGAAAAATTTTTAGAAATATTAAAAAATAAAAAACAAAAAAAAAATAATGAATATAAAGAAGAATTAAAAGACGATACGAATAAATGTGACCTAAATAATAATATTGATAATAATAATGAATTTAAAATGGAAAATAAACAAAATTTAGATACATTTAAAGGAGACGTTTTTAAAATAAATAAAGATTTGCCAAATACGAATGAGAAAGAATCAGATGATATATTTATTCAAAAAAAAGTTGAAATTCAAGATAACATTCCGATAATGTTGCCAACTAAAAAAAGAAGAAAAAGGGTTAGAGTAGCCAAAACATTAAGTAATAGTGTTTTGTATGATGATAATGGTAATGAAATATTTGATGATAATATTAAATTTAGAATTTTAGTGAATGAACTAAATGAAGAAGAAAAACATGAAGAAAAAAACAGAGATGTAGAAGATAATATTGTTAGTGGAAAAGCATATATTGAATCTCTAAAAGAAAAAGTTAAAAAATATAACCAAAAGTTGAAAATAAAAAAACTAAGAAAGAAAGAAAACCTTAAACTAAACAATAAAGATGTATCTAGTTGCGATGAATATTCTGATCAAAAAGTTAATATTTGTAGTGATCAAAATGAACAATCTTGTGATTCAAGTAGCGATAGCCAATATCACAAGTACGAAGAAAATGTAAATGACCATTTTATTAAAAATAATGAAAATAAAAAACGTACGGAAGACTTAGATAAAATAAATAGGAATCAAAAAGACAATCTAAATGGTAATATTATTCAAATGCATTTTTCACATTTTTTTTTATATTTAGAAGTTTTCTTTTTTTTTTTTTTTTTTGCTAATTTCATTTATTATAGAATTAATTGTGTAATCTAACCATATTTTCTTTCTGTCAATTAATTTAATTAATTTTTTTTTTCTTTTTTTTTTTAGAAGATGTATCAGAGCTAGAGAATAGAGTGATGATGTTTTTATAATAGTAATCCCTTTTTTTTTTTTTTTTTTAATATTTTTAGTTCTAAACATTCTTATAGTATATTAAATAAAAACTCCATTGTATTATCTTTTCGTTTTTAATTGTTACAAAATTATATATTTTTTTTTATTTAAATAATGAAAACAAAAATTAAAATATACATATTTTATAAAAAAACTTTTAAATTAATTGGTTTATTCTAGTCTACATTAGTTTTTGTTTACGTTTATAAAAAAAAATTTTTAATTAGTTGGTTTATTCTAGTCTACATTAGTTTTTATTTACGTTTATAAAAAAAAATTTAAAATTAATTGGTTTATTCTAGTCTACATTAGTTTTTGTTTACGTAATATTACTTAATTAAAAAATTTCAACGCAATATAATTTTCTTTATAAGTTGTTGACGTTGTAAAATATTACTTAATTATTAATACTTGTATTTTCGCAAGTAATTTTTGAACTATTTTACAAATAAAAGAAAATTATAATGATAATATATATATCAATAAATATGCTTTTTCATTATAAGAATATAAAGGCAAAGTATATGAATATAATACCATAATAATTTTATTTTTCCATATATGTACTTTCATTAATGTTTGTTTTTTGCTTAATAGAAAAATGAAATTAATAAAACTTTATAAATAATAATTTATATAATGCATTTATTAAAACATATAAAAATATAATTTATTTTATATTATGATATTTTTCAAGTCAATCCCATTAATATGTAAAATATAAATAATGTAATTTAAAAAATATATTCAATGAATGTTTTATAAAAATAATTATAAGAAATAGTTAGGAAGCAAAAATCACCTTTAAAAAAAAATATTAATAAAAATGTAGTATTTTATTTTGAATGAAATGATGATATTATGCCTTGTAATTGAAAATTGAAAAATTATCAAATTTAAAAGAATTCAAATTATATGAATTTAAGTCTTACGAGTTGTTAATTATTTGTTATAAAAAAATAGTTCATAAAAAATAATTTTTCATTATTTTTAAATTTTAATAATGTATAAAAAAATGAAAATTTTTTAAAGTAAAATGAATAAATAAAATTCAAAAATAGCTAAGTACAACGAAAGCTATATATGCATGGAAAATTTTCAAATAAAATATTTTTAATTTTTTTTTTTTTTTATATATATTTTTATTTTTAAAAAAAATCAATCGCACTAATAGTAAAATTGCAATATTTTTATATATGGAACTCACTATTTCATGTGCATGCATAACGTAATAAATATAATATATACATTATATGAAAAAAAAAAAAAAAAAAAAAATGAGTTACCATAATGATATTTTTTTTGCATATACATATAATATGAATATAACAGCTATGCTGTCCGGCTATGTCCGTGCAAGTGCGGATTTAGCTGTAACTTTCGAGGGGCAGCACTCTTGTGCAGATAAATGGGATACTATTAAGTTTATGAGAATTTCAATATTATATATGTTCCCGTCTATCACAAGACATCAGTTACTGAGCATATTTTGCTGGAAAGGGAATATGCTGAAGTAATGATGAATCATGAACCGCCTCAGGCTGGAAACAGAGCAGGGTAAGTGGTCGCTGATGTACGGTGTGAAGATTACGGTTGAACATTAAGATATTTCAGAATTCTCGTAAACGTAATATGTACACCATTTCTCCACCAACAATCAGAAAAAATACATCATGCCAAAATTACCACGAAGAAACAATTCCCTGTAAATTTTTTCAATAATTCCCAAATTACAAAATAAAAAAGGAAAATAAGAGAAAATACTGACTTTATAGCTTAAAAAAATTTAAACTCTCATACCAAAAAATTATAGTAAATATTTCAATATTATAACAAAATTATTTGTAAATAAAATTTAATTTTTAGTTTCTTTTTTTTATATAAATTTTATACAAAACAGGAAATTACGTTTGTAAACATTAAAAAATTCATAGTAATTTATATTTAAGAAATAAAAATTATCAATGCAAATATAAAAAAAAAATAATAACATTTCTTATTTTTTATAAATAAAAAATGATTCATTACTTGGAATAACGTTATTTTTTATAAATAAAAAATGACTCATTACTTGGAATAACATTTTTTATTTTTTATTTTTCATTTTGTATAAATAAAAATATGACTCTTTTTAATAGCATCTGTTTTTATAAAAAAAAATCACTAATCACTTAAAATTTCTTTCTATAAAAAGAAATGACTCATCACTTGGGGTTCCCGAGCGGTCTCCCACCTCAGTACTATCCAAGCCTAACAGTGCTTAACTTCAGAGTTCTGATGGGATCTGGTGTGGCCACTGTAGTATGAACGAGTCAATATATATTGCTTTCGTTGAAATTATATTCATAAACTAATTAAATATATAAATTTTTATATTAAAATAATAAAATATTACTAAAAATAATATAAATAAATTACATTCATTAAAAAAAATTCCTACATCATGCATATATACAATATGCATAGATAAAATAAAATATAAAATATTACTTATATATAAAAAATATATAACAATAAAAAATCATTAATAAAATAAAATAATCTCTTATATTTACAAAACAATAATAGGCTAAAGTACCATTTAAAGTTAGTGATTTTACTAATAAAAATAATATACAATAAGTATATAAAAATAAAAAAAAAATTATATATGTTCATTTATTCTTTTAAAAATCAATTATGCAAAATTTTTATAATAATAAATTTCTTTAACATAAACTTCTGTTTAAAAATTTTATAAAAAAAAATATACTACTTGAATTTGCCGATTGGTTTACCACGTCAATACTATTTAAAAATGGCAATGCTTAACTTCAGAATTCTAATGGTATATAAATATATTTTCACTTTATTTTAATATAGTAATTTTTCGAATATAATAATTAAAAAAAAAAAATTTAAATAAATGCCATTATATATAAAAAAATGACTCATCACTTGGGGTTCCCGAGCGGTCTCCCACCTCAGTACTATCCAAGCCTAACAGTGCTTAACTTCAGAGTTCTGATGGGATCTGGTGTGGCCACTGTAGTATGAACGAGTCTATAAAAATTGTATTTAGTATATTTCATATTCTAAATTTATATTATAAATATTAAAATAATATTAAAGCATGCTTTTCTAAAAAATATTTTAAATTAACAATGTACCATATTAATGAGAAATTACAATAAATTTATTATCTCTAATTATGATTTTTTAAAAAATAAGTGAATTTTATATTTAAAGTAATTCTTAATTTAAAATAGAAAAATATATATCATGTAAAATCAAATATATGCTAAATTTAAAAGAAATATTACATCTTTTTTTTATTGCTAGAATGTCATAAATTATAAAATGGAAAAAATATGCCTGATTATTATTTTTATTATTGTATCTTGTGAATATTTTTTTTAAAAAAAAATGTTATATAAAAAAAAGTAAAATTATTTTTCATGTAGAGATTAAATTTAACTTTCTATTAATATATTTAAAATATTTATTATAGATATAATTTTAATAAAATAATTAAAAAGAATTGTTATATTTTTAATATACCTTTTATTAAAAAAATTATTTTTAATAAAATTTTCCTATATAATTATATTTTATAAAAAATTAATATAATTAAAAAGATTTTTTTATTTAAGTCTTTATTTAATAAAATTCTCACGTTCTTCATATTATTACTAGACTATAAAATCATCAGATTTTAATGGTATGTATTTTCTTCGATGTAAGATTTTGATATTTTTTATATTTATTGAGAATTAAAAACACTCAAATATAATATATTATAGTTTAATGAAATGTAATATACTATATTACGAAATTAAGCCATATATATTTGAAAAATTTATTAAATATAAATTTAAATTTTTTCTATGAGAAATCCTTTATTTTAATGATATGCAAATCTATAATATGTTACATTAAACTTGTGCCATCTATATTATGCAACATTTAATTATAAAATTATTTATTATATAATTTAATAATTATATTATTTACATATTATATAATAAAATAAAGGAATTCCAAAATAACTAAATAATATAAACAAATCATTACTTGCCATTCCCGAGTGGTCGCCCATCTCAGTACTATTCAAGCCTATCAGTGCTTAACTTCAGAGTTCAGATGGGATCTGGTGTTTCCACTGTAATTTGAACGATTTAATTATTATAATTATTTAAAATACCTGTATAATAATAATTATATATATATAAAATAAAAATATTAAAAGTGCAAAAACTCATTACTTAGGGTTCCCGAGCGGTCTCCCACCTCAGTACTAACCAAGCCTAACAGTGCTTAACTTCAGAGTTCTGATGGGATCTGGTGTGACCACTGTAGTTTGAACGAGTTAATAACATATTCTATATAATTATTTATAATAAATAATTATGTTTAGTAAAAAAATTAATTTAAAAAATGCCAAATAAAAAAATGACTCATCACTTGGGGTTCCCGAGCGGTCTCCCACCTCAGTACTATCCAAGCCTAACAGTGCTTAACTTCAGAGTTCTGATGGGATCTGGTGTGGCCACTGTAGTATGAACGAGTCATTATAAATTTTATTTTTTCAAAATATTATATAAATTATATTTCTAAAAATGACTTTTATAACTCTTATTTAAAAAAAAAAAAAAAAAAAAAGTATAATTTTTACAATAAAATTGAAGCAGGAATGATAATATATTTTAATCATATAAAAAGATATATTTTTAAATTATATATTTATTTAATTATATATTATTTTAAAATGTATTGAAAATAGTATATAAAACTTGACAAATATATAATTTATACATAAAATAATTCTTTTTGTCAGCAAATTACTTTTAACGAGTATACTTTAGTGCTAAATTTATTTTTTATTTTAAAAATACTTTCCTACTTTATAAGAATATTATTTTTCATAAAATATTGAATGTTTCTATTTTAATTTAAATTGTATTAAAGAAATTGTACATATCTTCAATAAAGAAATAAAATAAAAATCATTTTAATTAACGAAATTTATACATTTATAATATATATCGTTTATTATATACGAGCATTTACAGAAAATATAATATGCATAATACGTATAATTTGTTTATAAAGAAAATAACGACATATATTTAAATTTATCTATTTTTTGAGAATTATTAAATCACGTCGTACCTTGTAATTTTCATATTAGAAAAAAATTATATTTTTCTATGACATTATTATTATTTTTTTCTTAGATATAATTATTAGCGTTTATGAAATTATATAATATTTTAATTAATAAGCATATACAAACAATTTGTTTTTATAATATTAATTATTTTCTTTTTGATGACAACAATGAATTTCCAAAATACTTGTATTTTTTTCTAATTGATTATTATATTATTTGTTTCATTATCTTCTATTTATTTCAATAAACTTCAATTTTTTGAAATTTTCTTTTTTTTTTTTTTGAAAAAAAAATTAATGTATCAATATAATTTAAATTGTAATATTACACTTAAAATTGTTATATAAAACTATAAAAAATACTATAAAATTATAACATAAAATAAATTTTATTTTCTTTAATGTGAGATATAAGAATATTAAGGAATTCACATTTAATGTATTTTTACACATAAAAAAAATAAAATATAAATTTCCAAAATTTAAAATTCCAAAAGGTTCATACAATAAAATTTTTATAGTATTTCTATTTAAATAATTATTTTTTTCAATATTTAATTCTGTAATATTATTATTATAATATTTGCTATTGTAAGTAATAAATAATAATTTATCACATCAAAAATCTCTTTTTAATTTAATTCATTTTAATAAATTTCTCTATATTAAAATATTTCTATTTTCTTATTAAAAATGCGTGGGCTACTCCGGGAATCGAACCCGGGACCTCTCCCACCCTAAGAGAGAATCATACCACTAGACTAAGTAGCCTTAATCATATATTTATTCGTTAATCTTTTTATATATTACAATTTTATATATTGAAGATTTTATTATATTTGTATTAGTAAATATACATTATATATATTAATTATACAGTATTAAATATTAAGTATAAAAAATGTACTTCCTAAATATAAAAAATATAAATAAAGATACAAGTTTCATTACAAATATATGAACAAAATGACATAATAGTATTTACTAAAAATTTTTTAAAAATATATGTAGAACATTATATAACAGAAAAAATTAAATTATGAATAATATAAATAAATTATCAAAATTTTTGTTTTATTTGCAAGTTAAATTATTTTTTAAAAAATTTTTTAGTAAATATTAACATTACCACAAAACGTATGTAAAATAAAAAAAAAAAATTCTTCATAAAAACCTTTAAAATTTATAATTATATGCTTTTATTTCATTTTTATTTTTATTTTTCCTTCATATTTACATTAATAAAATTTCAATTCAACTACGTATAACTTAATAATCATGTTTTATTGATTATATCTTTATAATAATGAATTTATATTTAAAAATGAGGTATTATAAATATTTATATATTGTATTTACAATATTTATTATATCAGACAATTCAATTTTTACTTATACATCATAGAATAATGCATTTTGTAGACTTATCAGAAATCTAATAAAACAATCATAATATATAAATATGATATGTAAATGAATAATTAAATTTAATTTTTAAAGTATTTACATGTAAATAAAGTCATTCATACTGACTTAATGTTATATCTCAAAATGCTATACATGAAGCTCTGAAATATTTAAACAAGTAAATTTTTCTATATTTACAGGAGTTTTATTATATTTTGTGTTTTAATAAGATATATTGGTGAAATTTTTTTTTTTCCTTTAATAGAGTTGTTATAGTGAAAAAAATGATTATAAAAAAACATTTGAAAAGTAAAACATAAAATAAAAGTGGATTCTTTACAATTAACTAAAAAAAAAGAAATTTATATAATATAAACAAAACCAAATAAAGAAATTTTTTAAGATAATGAAAAATTAATACAAGTATTATTTTAATCAATATAATTCTATGATAGTATTAGTTTTGAGAAAATACTTTATTTGCAAACTCTTCCATAGGTATCATCTTTTTATCATATGGATCAATAAATTTCTTGAAATTTATCAAATCTTCATCACATAAAATGTCACTCATTGTCATAACTAAATGAATCGTTGTATCTATTGCCAAAGTACCATCGTTTTTTTTATCAAATTTTTTTATAGTATTTATAAATTGCTCTTCTGGAGTTAGTGTCCCTAAATGTTTCTTCGCAATTTGAACATATTCTCCTAATGAATATTTCATATTGTTTTTTTCTTCTATCATAGAATAATCGAATGGAACTCCAATGAACCTTAAGGCATACATCAATTCATTAAGCGATATAGAACCATCAAAATCTTTATCTATTAATAGGAAAGATTCCCTAATTATTGCATCAGTTTTGGACATTTTGTTAAAATTAATAATTTCTTATATAATAATACAAGTTTAAAAAACAAAAAAATAAATATTTTTATAAATATTAATATATTACATGAAAAAATACTGTAGACGAAAAGACAAGAAAAAAAAACTATGAAAATTAATTAAATTAATCTTGTCAATCCTTAAAATGCAAAAAAAAAAAATATAAACAAATATGCTTTTAACTTTTTCGATGCAATATCTTTAAAAATTTATATCTTCTTTTTTAATTTAAATGTAACATAAAAAAAAAGTTTTTGAAATTTTTTCATATACATAAATTTGAAGGATGCATAAATTATATTCAATATGGCTTTAATATTCACAATATATATATATTTTTTTTTTCTTGATGTTGTATTTATAAGCTAAAAAAATTTAAGTTGTATTAGACAATTCTTCAAATTTATTGTTCAAATTTCTTGAATTAAATCTTTTTCGCATTTTTCAACGGATTCCTGTATGAATGTTCATGAAAAAAAAAAAAAAAAAAAAAATAGCTAATATTATCAATTTTTTTTCAAGTAGCCATATAATTTAATAAAACTTTTTTTTATTAAAAAAAATTAAGTGTTATCAATAATTCTAAATCACTAAAATTTTTTATTAATAGGTATATCAACAATGTTTTATTTATAATATTATTTCATTTAAATCTATATATATATATATTTAAGTACTCTTTTCAAATACTATTTTTTTGCTTACTTTATCTATAACTTCAGATACTGTAATATTCATATCTTTAAGCTTGCTATCACATAAATTTTCATTGCACACATCAAATATTCCCATTGATACATCTATAATAAAAATGTCAAATGATGAAAAATTATTTTTCGTTTGTATAAAATATGAAAAATATATATAATTTAAAAGTATACCCATGACAACACAAGTTTTTTCATTATTATCGTCTGGAGGATTAAGCATATCCTTATCAATTCTTACACTTTCTGAATCCATATTGTTTAAATCTTGGTTGGACTTTTCAATTTTAACTAAAAATTCTCTATATTTTTCTGTAGAAAAATTATTTATTAAGCTTCTGTCAATATTTGGCTTTTCAGCGTTAATTTTTTTTCTTGAATAAAATTCTTCTGTTTCATCATCATATTTTTCATTACACAAAAATAATTTATTTGAATTACTTTCGTTAAATTGATCATCTAATAAACTTCCTCTTAGTATTTTATTGCTTCTTGTCCCTTTATTATCATCATCGTTTTGATTTTCATTCATATTTTTATGTTATAAAAAAGATATAATAAAATTAATTAGCTTGTTATATGTTAAATTAAAATCCTACTTTTCCTTCTTTAATTTATCTTTGGAAAATATGCTAGTAATTTTCACTTCCCTTTAAAATAAAATAAATTTTATTTATATATATTTAATAAAGGAGTAACATGAATTCACATCCTTAAAATTATAAACATCATGATTGCATGTATTTAAATATACATTAATGAAAAACACATAAATTATAAAGATGTACTTGAATGAGAGAGAATTAATTTTTTTTTTAAAAAAATGTTCTGACAATATAATCGATAAAAATACTTATAAAAAGTAATTTAAACCTTTTTTTATTTTTTTTTCTTATGTAAAAATATTTTTATTTATGGGAGAAAGATATAAAACATAATAAATTCCCAAGTTCAAAGCTTAGAAGATATATATGCAAACAAAAGTTATATGCATCTTTATATAAATGCTATTTAAAAGTTAAAATATATATATACTCTAAACTATCTGCATGAATAATGTGGATATTTCAATAAAATAAAGAACCTTTTTAATTAATAGAGTGTATAAATTTTATAATAAAAAAAAATAATTTAATTATTATGCATTTAATTATTACAGAAGTATTTAAATATACTTACTTTTTGTAATAAAACTTTTAGCATGCATCAAAATTTTGATATGATCTTAAGTAAAAAATAGTGGTAATTCAAAAAATAAAATACTTGAAAATAACTTAAAATTAAAAAATTGAAATATGCATAGTTATAATTCCAACCTAAAAAAAGTATCATTTTTCTCAATTTTTCTTATCTTTTGACTTTTTAAAGTGAAAAATTAAAGATACAAAAAAAAATTTCATTTATTTTTATCACTGTGCTTAATAGTATGATTTGCTCTTTTTTTTTTTTTTTTTTAATGTCTCATTAACCTTTTCTCATTAAAAAATGAGATACCTGATTAGAGGAATAATGTATAACACATTTGTTATTTTTTCATTTGTTGCTCTTAGTTTTATTATACTTGTTTAGAAGTTTTTCTTTTTTGCTTAATTCTATATTACTCTTGTGTGTAATAACAAAGTATTTCTTCATAATAGAATTAACTATTTTATTTAATTAACTTTATATCTTAAATTACAATAATAATAAATGTCGAATGAATAATTCAATAAACATTATTTAAGGAATGTTTTGAATAAATTAAATATTTCATCCTACACAATCAAGGTTGTTATGTCTTTTAAGTATTACACAACTGTGTTTTTATAATGCACAACTAAATTATTAAGGAGAAAAATTAACTAAATATATTATTTTTTAGTTTTATTATTTCTTTATTTTTTGCATTCACATGCTAAATGACTGTAAATTTATATGTTTTTACATGCTAAATGTTGGTAGTATCATTTTTCACATGCTAAATAATGATAAAATAGTACAAAAACACATGCTAAATGTAAATGAAGGTATATTCATATATAGTTTTCACAATTTTAATCGAATAAGTCGACAAGCAAAAATATAAGTTATCTATACAATAATATATACATTATAGAATATGCAATTTTTGATATATGTTTTTTAATTATTATTTTATTTTCTCTAATTTATTATGGAGATTACTGTATTCAAGTATCAACTTTCGACAATAAAGAATAATTATATAGATGCTAGAACTTCTTACAACTTAAAATAAAAACACTTAATTTTTACATATTTATGTAAATATGTGTAAAAAATTATGTTATAAATCAGTATGTAAAGAAAATTTCATATATATGCATTAACTTTTTTCTTTTATTAATGTATGAAAAATTTTTACTATTTTTCATATACACTTTTTTTAATTAGAACTATACTCATTATACAATAGAAATCTTTATTTTAAAAATATTTACTTTATAATTTTCTTTAATTTTTTTAATTCTCTTTTATATATGTTAAAATAAATACAAGATAACAATAAAAAAAGAATTTTACTTTTAATTAAAAAAATTTTCTTTGTCTCTTTTGTATGTTAAAAGATGAACATAATTTTTTTTTATTTATTAGGTTTATTATGCCTTCTATATAATAATATATTTTGTATTGAAAATAAAAATGAACTTTACATTTTAGAAGGACATAATAATTTAACTGAATTACTTGCATTAATAGCATGCGATGAGCACAGAGATATTTATTCTGAAGATGAATGTGACTTACTCAACAATTTAAGCAGAAGAAAAACAGTTACAAAAGAAGAATTATTAAGGACTTTAAATATATTAGAAGAGAAATGTAAGAATATTCTCCATGATTCAGAAAAAGATAAGCTTGAAAGATTAATTGATAAAATTAAAGACGCATTGAAAAAAAATAATTTCATTATCAAAGATGATAAAGAAAGAAAAAAAAAAACATTAAATAAAAGCACTCTCTTATTAAAACTAGAGAATTCTTTGAAAAAAAAAGATCTTGCTAATTTTAAAAAAGTTAGCGATCTTATTAAATTAAGAAATTTATATTTACATCAAAATTATAGAATATGTAGTTCTTCTAATGAAAAGCTATTGCTAGGCATTCCTAGAAAGCTGCATGTAACAGATTGGAGTGTGAAAACTATAAATCTTCCATTATCCTTTAGGATTACAAATCAGATAAGTACACCAGAATCCTTTTGTTCTAATACGGCATGTGTGCCATTGCAATACGATAAATCTGTAAAACTATTTAAGCCTTTACTTGATTTTAATTTAGAACAATTAGAAAATGACTTGAAGTCTCAGTTGAAGACTTATGAAGAATCAAAAAAAGAAATTTCTTTTCTGATAAGAGAAAAAAATGAATTAAAAAGAGTTTCGTTAGATATACCTTCCAGCAGAATGCCACAACCTCAACCCAATGATGAATTAAAAGAATCGTTAGAAGAAGGAGATAAAATTCTTACTTATGTAATTAGTAAAAGATTAAAAGGAGCTTCGAGTGATTACACATTTAGTATTCCAAATAAAGATTTTATACATTTTTCAGCAAAAAAAATTAAAAAGACAATACAAATCCCAAAAAAACAGTCGAAAGACATATCCTCAAAGAAATCTAGAAACAAAGTTATAATTAATGTTAAATCTCCAATAAAAATGAAAAATAATTCTTTAAAAAAAAGAAAAGCAAAGAAATCAAGGAAAAATAATAATAATTACCATATATTTATAAAAGGAATCACACAGAAACAACCTAAATGTTTCACAAAAGTATATGATATCCCAATTAAAAAAAAAACAGTAATTAAACCAGTCACAAATAATAAATTTGTAAAAAAGGTAATAATTAAAAAAGTTATACAGGAAGTACCTGTTGTTAAAGAAGTAATAAAAGAAATACAACCTGAACCTAAAGAACCTCATGTTCAAAATTGTCCACAACATACTAAAAATAAATGCGGTGATTATTTTTACGCTATTCCATTGATTAAATTTTATCATCCAAGTGGCAGTATACATTGCTTATCGTGTTCTCAGTATGAAAAAAATTCACCTTGTAATTGTGCTTTGGATGAAAATTTTATCAAACTTAAGTATGGTCAAAATTGCATGATGTGCATACCTACTAGTGTCATTAACCATTGTTTCTGCAACATGAATAATTCAAAGCAATCAATAGAAAAATCTCCCAAGCAACCATCAGATACACCATGTGCATACAGCAATAGTTGCTCACATAAAAATTTTCCTAGTAATTATACACCTAAAAATAATAACGTTTTTTCAACTTCTTCAAAACATACTTCAAGTTATAATAGTAAATTAGAAAGAATTTGTGAAGAAAAATATAATTCCAAATTGGTTCAAAAATTTTATGTATATAATTCATCAAAAAAAAAAATTTTTGGAAAGCAACTATCAAAATTTACTACATCAGGTAATTCGCAGAACAACTATGTATATTCTACCGAAAATAGTGATGAGGAAGAAAGTAATGGTTTAGATGATGATGAAGTATATAACGCAAAAGATAATAATGACGAAGAAGATAATGATGAAGAAGATAGTGATAAAGAAAACGATGAAGAGGATAATGAAGAAGATAATAATGAAGAAAAAGATAATGATGAAGATAATAATGAAGAAGATAATGATGAAGATAATAATGAAGATAATGATGAGGATGATAATGAAGATAATGATGAAGAAGATAATGATGAAGAAGATAATGATGAAGAAGATAATGATGAAGATGATAATGATGAGGAAGATAATGATGAAGAAGATAATGATCAAGAAAATGATGATGAAGAAGATAATAATGAAGAAGATAATAATGAAGGAGATGATAAAGAAAATGAGGAAGGCAAAAATATAAGTGATAATAATGTAGATTTTAGTAGTGGATGTCCATATAAAAATTTTGTAATGTATAAGGATAAACATGATGAAAATGGGGAAAATGAAGTCACTAATAATTTAAGAGAGGATTCAAGAGAATTTATAGATGAAAGTCATGAAATTGAAGATGAATATTCCTTAGATGCAAATGATGATAACGAATTTATAGCGTTTAATGAATCGTTGGAATATAATAATAATATGCAAAATTTAAAAAAAAATTATTATAATACAATTCATAGAAAAGGTTATTACTTAAATTACGATGAAAATGAATACTTTCTTATTAAATTAAGATTTATATATAAAACTTCATTCTTTACAAGTACAAAAAAAGAAGTAAATGCTTATTTAAAAACACCTGAAATAGGTATTAACTATAATAAACAAAGAATACTTTATTTGATTAGTAAATTCTTTAGTAAATCATTTAAACATGTAAATTATAAAATAAATAAGTCAAAGGTGCATATGTTTCCTATATTTAAAAATTCAAGAATTCAAAGCTATGATTTAGATTTTGGTAAGATAAAAAGTAAGTATGCCATATCTTTAAATATGTTTAAACGTTCAGTTTTTGATTTAGTAAATAACGCAATTTATTTCATTAGTCCTGATGGAAACTATATATTATTAGAAGATGTAATAAAGAGAGTACAAGATAAAACACAAAGGAGAAATTATAATTTTATTAAAATAAAACCAAAGTTGTATCATTATTTTATAAGTAACAAACAAGAAAATTATACAACACAAGGCAATGATGATACAGAAAGTGAGGCTACAGATGTATTTGACGAAGAAACTACACAAGAAGAGATTAAAAAAGATGATATAGAAGAAAACAAAATTAATGATACTTCAATCCTTAAAGCGTTATCCGACTATGATAATGTGCTATCACAAGAGGATATAAAAATGATCAATGAGTATAATAAAAATGTAATAATTGATAAAAAAAATATTAATGGAGAAGAAATAACAGAAATAACAATTAAAAAAGATGAAAGCATTTTTGAAAAGGAGATAGTAGAAGAAAACATTGATGGATATGAATCTATAACTATTGATAGTGATGAAAGTATTGAAGATGTTAATGAAACAGCAAAAAAATATATAAATGAGTATTTCAGTATACATAATATGCCTATACATTACATTGAAAACTTTAAGATTTCTAAAAATGTAATTTACATATCTTCTGATGTAAATAGCGATTTGAATATGCTTAAAATGAGTATTATAGGTATGTGCAATATTATTGATAGTTCTATTGATGATTTCAGGCTTTGTTTAGCTAATAAAGAAACTGATGTTTATGATTATAATGAATGCATTGATATACCAGAATCCATAAATAATATCCAAGAATTAAACAATTATAGCAAATCGTTAAATATGAAAATAGTAATTGCTCCATTAAATATGAAATACATTAATATAATACCTAGAAGTTTCGATTATTTATATAATTCAAATGAATACATTCATCCCTCAAAAATTTATGAAGAAGAAAAAGAAAAAGATAAGGAAAAAGAAAAAGAAGGAAGAGACTTATATGAAGAAGATGATGAAGGAAATCTTGTTTTAAAAGAAGTAAAAATTAAAAAAGATAAACAGTCCTCACTTAAAAATGATAAATTAAATGATAATATAAGAATATCAGGAACTTCATTAGAATCAAGTGAAAGAAATAATGAGCAAAATTATGATGTTTCTACTAGTTTTGACAATGAAGAAGTTATAGAATATGAAAATAAAGAAATATCTATACTTGAAGACGAAGAACTTTATAAAACGAATAGTTTCTATAAACATTTTGAATTATATATAGACAATCCAAACAGAAAAATTGATATATTAAATGCTCCTATATTAAAAGTATATACTTTTGAATTATTTATTGCTGATATTATGAACAAAACAATGCATGTTCCTTCTATTTTCACTAGCCCTCATTCATACAAGAAGGGTTTACGTGTAATAGATACTTATTTGTATTTTGACTATTATACATTTAACAAAAATACAAATGCTATAAATTCATTAACGTTTGAAAAGAATATTCCATTATATGAGGTATTAAAAGAACTTAAATCAAGAAACGAAGGGTTAATGATTAAAAATAAAGATAGTGAAGAAGGTTTGAGTGTAGATAATCTAAGAGATATGAAAATCCCATCAAAAATAAATTTGGCTGATTCAAGATACATACACTTTGAAATACCAATATTTTATTTGGATGAAGATTCAAATTTTTTTCAAGATAAAATTATTTTAAGGAATATTCCAGAGACACTTACCATAAATGAGTTATGCAGTTCTATAAAAAATATAATTAATGAAACTTTAATTTCATTTAAACTTAATCTATTAGAAGATTTACATATATATACAATAAGAAATAATAAATGGGAAAACGTATTAGACAAATCATTAGTATATGACTTAAAAACGAATAATCAAGACATATTTACTATATTTATTAACCATAAATTTTTAACTAAAAATGATTTTCAAATATTATCTAATATATCAATTGATTTTGTAGATAATAGTATGTATGCTAAAAAATTAGATATATATATAGAATATCATCTCAATCCTTATACTTTATATAATGTACCGATAAATATGTCTTCTAAAAACATTAAATGTCTATTTTTAAATTACACGGATGCAATTTTAACAGATTCTTTCTTAAATGAATTTTATTTTACCTACAACAAAAAGAATATATCTGAATCAAATGGTGAATTAAAAAATACTGAAAATGTAAAAGATGAAGACATACATGTATATGAAGGCACTGAAAGTGTAAATAATGAAAAAATACCATTTGTATATTTATTAAGTATGATTACCAAATTTTATAAAGTTAAATTAAATTCAACTATAATGGTAAGTAGTTTAATTGCCAATTTATATGAACTATGTGGAAAGAGCTCTAACGAACATGCTTTACTAGATGTAATAAGATCATCAAAAACTAAAAAAAATATTGAATTAACTTTGTATAACAATTCTAAAAAAATATTAGTTAAAAATGTACCTTCAAATTTGTTACTATGGCAATTTATCAATGTTTTGATGAGAGGTTCATTTAATATTCCCATTGAAGATAAAGACAAATTATACAACTTATTTACATTAGTTCCAGATGTTAAAGAAGGATCAAAATATTATGATTATTTTTTTTTATCACGCCCTGGATATACTGTTGAAGAAGCAATAAAATCAATACAAGAAGATAATTTATATTTAGTAAAAGCGTACCCTGAAGAATTAAATCACATAAGTGATAGTGAACATTTTAATAATTATTCAAGTTTTAGACTTGATTCATTACCGTCTGTCATAGATTTTGAAAATCCTAATATATGCTTAAGTTTCTATACTAATTATAATAATGAAAATAAAATAACTTACATAAGAAATATTCCTTTGAACACATCTATAGACACAATATTCAAATCAATTCTTTTAAATATGTATTCTTATTGGGGAAAACTACCAGAAGAAGAAAAAATAAAATTTTCTCTTTTTATCAATAATAATGAAATAAAAAATTTCAGGGATTATTTAAAATCTGAAGAAACTCCACATATTCGTACATTACTCTCTTTGAATGAAAACCCTAATAATAATATTTCTATGATAAAACATATTGATTTGCACAAGTATGAATTAGAATCAGGAATAATTTCAGAAGAGGAGTTAGGAAGAATAAAATTATATGATTCTCTTCTAAGAGAAGTTCTATTAAACAATTATATTGACTATAATAATATTGACCTAAAGGGTTACAAGATTGATGTTTATGTATACGATGGAATTTCTTATAAACCAACATTCATTCATAATGTACCATTAAATGCTACTAACAAAGATATAATTAACTTTTTATTAAATAAATCAAATCATATTAATAATAAACAACTTATTGATCAATTCCTTTTACTAAATAAAGAATCATTTGATTTATTGAAGCTTAATAAACCAATAAGAAAGAATGTAGTTTTTTTAAAGGAACTAATACAATTCAATTCTTTAGAAGAACCTAAATTATATTTGGTACACAGACTTTTATTTAATCCTTTAGATAATTTATTCCAAAATATAGTTGAAAAAAGTTACGATTTTAAGTCTGAAAATGCATCAGTCTCTACTGTAAAAGAGGAAAGAGGAAAATTAAGTATAAATGTAAATTTAAATAACAGAAGATATATATTAACTGTTTTAAATATCCCTTATAGTATGTGTATAATTCAATTCTTAAGATACGCTATTGGATATCAAAGACAATGGATATACAAATTTGTAAAATTATATATAATAAAAGGTGATGAAAAACACGTATTAAATGATAATAATGATACTATAACATATGGTAGGACAGTTAGTGAAATATTTGAAATATGCAAAACATATAATAATTGTACCATACACATTGATGTAAATTATAAAAATGAAGTAAATTATGAAATACCAACCTATGATAATATAAATGAATATGAAGCTTATGGTTCTACGAACTTCGAAAATACTAAAATGAAAAATATTATATTAAATGAATTAAGTAAAAAAATAATTGAAGATGAAATTCAAAATAAAAACATAGATTTATCTACATTATGTTTTGAATACAACGCTGGTATACATGAAAAGACTATTTTTGGTTCTTCAAGAATTTGTAATATTCCTAGAGAATATACAGTAGGTAATGTATTAAGTTATATTAAAAAAAGGTTATTAGAAGATGCAAAAATAAAAATTACTAAAGATCTACAAATAATGATTATTATTAATAAGAAATATGTATCTGTTCCAAGTAATTTAAATATTGTTTATGCAATTCATTATCTTTTCAACAATACACCATCTATAGTTTGTGACTCAGATGATGGGTTGTTTAATATTGTTCACTTAACTTTATATAAAACATTTATTGATATGAAAAATAATACATTTGTTAAAAGGGATATAGAAATGCATTTGAAAAAAGGTAATTATATAGAAAATATTAATTTCAAACATGTACCAATCAACATAACAGAAGATGATTTAATAACTTATTTATTGAGACATTTAACAAAAAGCTCAGAAGTTACACAATTTATGAGAGATAATACTTCTATATGCTTATATCCTCGATGTGATCCCATATATATTCATCATAAGAAAAAGCAAATTGCATTTATACCCTCTTTAGTTTATCATAATGTTTTAAAAAATATATATTATATAACAACAGTAGAAGCTTACGAAAATTTTTATGCTAGACTTAGTCACAAAGAGTATAATTTTGAGAAATCCCAAATCTTTAAGAATACAAATGTAAATAGAACAGGAATAAATGAAGTTGTAAACATTGATATAAATATTCATTTAACTAATATTTATAAAAGTGTTCGTGTAAGAAATCTAAATATTAATATAACAATAGAAGATTTATTATCAAAAATATTTAAATTTATAACAACAAGAAAGTATAATTGGAATGAATTATTTACATTTGTTGGTAGCACTTCAAAAGACAATATACTTAAAAAAGTAAGCAAAAGTGAAGAACCTCAATTATTCAGAGATTGTTTAAATGCAGAAGAAAACTTAACATTTATTTTTACATCTCATGATAATGAGATACATGACTACTTCATATCTAAACTAGCATATTTACCAGCATTAATAAATTACCAAACTAATTATGTAACCTTAAATAGTACTATAAATGGATTTGAAAACAAAAATACAACTTTGCATGCCTTCCCTGATTATTTAACCTCCAAAACTATGCTTACAATATTACAATATAGTTTTTTTAAGTTAATAGGTAAAACTTATTTAAATGTTTTCGGTTGTTCTTATGATAATAATTTGGATGCTACAATTGAAGATACGTCTGTAGAAGGGGAAGAAAATGGTGGATTAGTAAAAACATTGAAAGATGACAATGACAAGCAACAAATGAAATTCATCTTAAGGGTAAATAAAAATGAAAAAAAAAAATTAGATACAATAAAAGATTTAGTTAATGTTGAAATAAACATAGGATGCCAAGCATTAAATAATGCAGAAGATATGGAAGAATGTCTTGACTTGCTTTCTTCTCTAAATAATTCTTCCATATTTTGGAGAAATGGGATATTAGGTTTTATGGCAAATTCCATAACTATACGTGATACTTATAATAATAGCTTAGTTTTACCAAATGTCGATTTTCAGATAAACGAAAAAATATTATTACAAAATGTATTATATGACATTGACTTATCACCGTATTTATATAAATTATTCTATTTATCACATATTGATAAAAAGTGTAATACTTATGAAAAATTTTTAAAAAATAGTGTACCACATATTCAATGTTTATTATCATATGGTTTTAACATATACTTTGATTTACAACATGACAGTAAATTAGAAAGCTATGATGGTTTTAAAACAGAAAATGACTCTTTTGATATAACTCAAATACATTCTTTCTCAAATTTGCTTGAACAACATTTTGTTGAATTGACTTTACATAACGATGATGGAACCTATGTTATTATAAAAAATGTCTACAGAGATATGACTGTTGGCACCTTTTTAAATGACCTGTCTAAAGCAAGATTTCATATTCATGGACTAAGATATAACGAAACTTATATCTTTTATAAACTTGTATATTTAGTTAATGATGAAATAAATGATATATCTACTGAAGATTCGATAGCAAAAGTAAATGATATTGTACTAAAATTTTCAAAATCAAATATTATTTTAAAAGTTGTTAAAAACAATAATGTAAAATCTTATTTCCCAAATATGTATTTAAGTCCATATCCTTCGGTAATTGATTTAAGCCAAAATAACTTTCAAGTTTCTATATTTTTACCTTCAAAAAATTTACTTCATAATGATTTATTAAGAGAGCAAGTTGTGCCGAGCATTATTATTAATAATGTCCCTTCTACAACCCTCATTTCATCTTTAAAAGAACTTTTGCAATATTTAATAGAGGAATTCTTAGAAAATGCAGGAATTTCTGAAAATTTAAATATTGATAAATCTAAGTTTGATATCAAATTTTTAGTTTTTAACTTTAATCCTTTCACAAAAAAAACTCAAGAAATTAATTCGAATATATTAAATAATTTATCAATTACTAACTTTTATAACATTTATATTAATGGAGATTTAGTACTTCAGTTAGATAGTCTAAAACAAGTTAGTCCTGATTTATATAATGAATTTATAAATCATTTTTCAAAAGTAGTAATTGATTTTTCTAATAGAAAAGTTCAATTGAAGCAATCCCAATAAAATTGAATTTTGCTCTAAAAGATTCTGATTTCATTCTTACTTAAAAAAAAAAAAAAAAAAAAAAAAATGACTTTTATTTAATACTTTTATCTTCATATTATTGTGGTGTTTTATTATTTTTTTGATTTTCTTTTTTTTTTTATTATTTTTCATCTTTTACTTTTTATTTAAAAGAATTATTAAAAAAAACGATTTAATCACTAAAAACCTTTTTCATAACTTATTATGTAGTTATAAGATTATGTAACATTTCTTTAATAAATATGTTTCAAACCATTATGTAAAAAATATAATTTCATAAATAATAGAATTATATAACACGTACTTTTTCATAGTAATGTTTGTGCAGTCTGCTTTAATGAAACACCCTTGTAATTACTCTATTATTTAAAAAATAAGAATAAAGCCTTATTCATAGTAAAAATACTAATTTTATTTAATTTTATAATAAATGAATTTAAAAAAAGAATCAAAACATAAATAAATTTAAAAAAAAAAATTCTCTATTTTTTTTTAAAAAAATTAATTTTCACTTTTTATAGTGATATAGTAGTTGCACTGTTTTTATTTTCTTTGATATTATATAAAGAAAAAAATATATCATTTAAAATTATAATCTTAGTAATAAGAAAATAATAAGTTAAATGTATTTTTACTAATAAATAAATATGTATAAATGGCAAATACTTATCTTTTAACAATGATTTTATTAAATGGAAAAAATATAGATTAAATTATCGAAGTTAATAAATTTTTTTTTTTTTTTTTTTTTTTATTGTGAATTAGAAAAAAATTAAAAAAAAAAAAATTAAGAAAAAAAAGAAAATTTTTTAAAAAGAATCAAAAATTTATTTTTAAACTTTTACATATTTATACTTTTTTTTTCTATAAGAATGGTAACAACTAAAATAATATTATTTTTGTATAAGATAAAAATTATAAGAAAAAATTGTCTTTATTTTTATAGTGGAGTTTTACGAATTTTAATAATATATGGGGAAGGGACTTTTTAAATATATCTGATCCATTCACAGAAGAATATACGTGTTATCCAGTTTCTTTTATTGGGAAAGATGATATGGAGAATGGAAATAAAAGTACTGATATTTTATATTAAAAAACAATATATTTATTCTTTAGATATATATATATATATATATATATATATATATATATGAAAAGAAAAACAAATAATAAATTCAAGAAAATTTTAATTTCTTATTTATTGATTAAAAAGATATTTGAAAAAAAGTATTGTTTTTTTTAAAACATTTTAATTTTTTATTTTCTATCCCTTTTACGCAGTAATACTTCCACAAACAGCTTTAAATGCATTAGCTAGAAGGCATATATCATGGCCAATGTTATTTGAAGTTTCTAATCCAATTACTGTAAGTATATGTATTAACAGTAATAATATATAAAAATTAACAAGAATAAAAATATAATAAAATAGAAATATATTAGATATTATTAATGAATATATTTTAAATAGGAAAATATATATATTTTTTCTCAAAGTATGTATTTTTTAAATAACTATGATTTATTGATATCAAATAAATTTGAACTTTATTTCAAAAATATACAATAGGAAAAAAAAACTCATAGTGGAGTTCTTGAATTTATATCTGATGAGGGAACCTGTCATATGCCATATTGGGTGAGAAAGAAAAAAAAAAAATAAAAGGACATGTAACCAATTAAAATTTGTTTATGAGAAAAAAAAATTTATTTCTACTAAGAAAGTATCATTCTTTAGTATTAAAAAAAAAAAAAATAAATAAATAAATAAATTTATTATATATATAGATGATGCAACAATTACAATTAAAAGAAGGAGACATTGTTAGAGTTAAGAGTGTTAGTTTGCCTAAAGGAACATTTGTTAAGCTAAAACCATGCTCTAAGGATTTTATGGAATTATCTAATCATAGAGCTGTGTACATTATATGTTTTATAATTACGCACATATATATATATATAATATATTAGATATATTAAAAAATAAATTAATTATATAAAATTTTTTTTTTTTTTTTATTTTTCAGTCTAGAAACAGCTTTAAGGAATTATGCTACGTTAACAGTAGGTGACAATATTGTAATTCACTATTTAGGAAAAACTTACGAAATAAAAATTGTGGTACATTTTCATTCCTTATTATATATATACGAATTTTTATATTCATCTACTAATGTTTTATATATAAATATATATTTTTTTTTAATAAGGATTTAAAACCAGCTTTTGCTTGTACTATAATTGAAACTGATGTCGAAGTAGAATTTCAAGAACCTTTAGACTACAATGAAAGTTATTGAATATTCAATTTTTTTTTTTTTTTTTTCATAGATTTACACATTTTTTTTCAATTTTTTATTAATGTTATTTTTTAGATATACAATCAGTAGAAGAAACTTTACCAAATGAAGAAAGCGTAAAAAAAAAAAAAAAAAAAAATACTTGAATACATTACTTGTGTATATTAAATTCATTTAATTCCTATATAACAAATTTTGATTTTTCTTATACAAAATTTGAAATAATATACATATATATTTTAGTAAAATAAAAATAAATATGAGAACTTATATTTAAATTATTTAGAAGTTTAAAGGAAAAGGACAAAGAACAGATGGAAAAGCATGTAAAAATATCAAAAAAGAAAATAGCAAACCTAAGATTATTGAAAATAAAGAACCATGGAAAGACAAATTAGTCGGAGGAGTCAGAGTAATAAATTGAAAAATAAAACAATTTTTAAAATGGAAAAAATAAAATGAATATTTACAAAAATGAAGGGAAAAAATATTTTCAAATATTTACATATCATTTAAATAAAAAAAATAAAATATTTAAAAAAAAAGTTAGTACTTTTTAAAAATAAACAATTTTTATTTTATTTTTGTATTTAGACTAAATGCATTGAATATGACGAATTGCTAAAAAAGGGTCACATTCCAGGTATAGTAGGGAAATTCAAAGAGCGTAAAAATTAAGTTTTTTTTTTTTTTTTTTAATATATATTTATTTTTACAACTCTATATTAATATTG